GAACTGGTTAATCTTAAGCAAACGTTGGATCTAAAGAGAGGGGCTTATTGAAGGTCTCATGAACTGGTTTATCTTAAGCAAACGTTGGATCTAAAGAGAGGGGCTTATTGAAGGTCTCATGAACTGGTTAATATTAAGCAAACGTTGGATCTAAAGAGAGGGGCTTATTGAAGGTCTCATGAACTGGTTAATATTAAGCAAACGTTGGATCTAAAGAGAGGGGCTTATTGAAGGTCTCATGAACTGGTTAATATTAAGCAAACATTGTATCTAAAGAGAGGGACTTATTGAAGGTCTCATGAACAGGTTAATCTTAAGCAAACGTTGGATCTAAAGAGAGGGGCTTATTGAAGGTCTCATGAACTGGTTAATCTTAAGCAAACGTTGGATCTAAATAGAGGGGCTTATTGAAGGTCTCATGAACTGGTTAATATTAAGCAAACGTTGGATCTAAATAGAGGGGCTTATTGAAGGTCTCATGAACTGGTTAATATTAAGCAAACGTTGGATCTAAAGAGAGGGGCTTATTGAAGGTCTCATGAACTGGTTAATATTAAGCAAACGTTGGATCTAAAGAGAGGGGCTTATTGAAGGTCTCATGAACTGGTTAATCGTAAGCAAACGTTGGATCTAAATAGAGGGGCTTATTGAAGGTCTCATGAACTGGTTAATCTTAAGCAAACGTTGGATATAAAGAGAGGGGCTTATTGAAGGTCTCATGAACTGGTTAATCTTAAACAAACGTTGGATCTAAAGAGAGGGGCTTATTGAAGGTCTCATGAACTGGTTAATATTAAGCAAACGTTGGATCTAAAGAGGGGCTTATTGAAGGTCTCATGAACTGGTTAATCTTAAGCAAACGTTGGATCTAAAGAGAGGGGCTTATTGAAGGTCTCATGAACTGGTTAATATTAAGCAAACGTTGGATCTAAAGAGAGGGCTTATTGAAGGTCTCATGAACTGGTTAATATTAAGCAAACGTTGGATCTAAAGAGAGGGCTTATTGAAGGTCTCATGAACTGGTTAATCTTAAGCAAACGTTGGATCTAAAGAGAGGGGCTTATTGAAGGTCTCATGAACTGGTTAATCTTAAGCAAACGTTGGATCTAAATAGAGGGGCTTATTGAAGGTCTCATGAACTGGTTAATCTTAAGCAAACGTTGGATCTAAAGAGGGGGGCTTATTGAAGGTCTCATGAACTGGTTAATATTAAGCAAACGTTGGATCTAAAGAGAGGGGGCTTATTGAAGGTCTCATGAACTGGTTAATCTTAAGCAAACGTTGGATCTAAATAGAGGGGCTTATTGAAGGTCTCATGAACTGGTTAATATTAAGCAAACTTTGGATCTAAAGAGAGGGGCTTATTGAAAGTCTCATGAACTGGTTAATCTTAAGCAAACGTTGGATCTAAAGAGAGGGGCTTATTGAAGGTCTCATGAACTGGTTAATCTTAAGCAAACGTTGGATCTAAATAGAGGGGCTTATTGAAGGTCTCATGAACTGGTTAATCTTAAGCAAACGTTGGATCTAAAGAGAGGGGCTTATTGAAGGTCTCATGAACTGGTTAATATTAAGCAAACGTTGGATCTAAAGAGAGGGGGCTTATTGAAGGTCTCATGAACTGGTTAATATTAAGCAAACGTTGGATCTAAAGAGAGGCTTATTGAAGGTCTCATGAACTGGTTAATCTTAAGGAAACGTTGGATCTAAATAGAGGGCTTATTGAAGGTCTCATGAACTGGTTAATATTAAGCAAACGTTGGATCTAAAGAGAGGGGCTTATTGAAGGTCTCATGAACTGGTTAATATTAAGCAAACGTTGGATCTAAATAGAGGGGCTTATTGAAGGTCTCATGAACTGGTTAATCTTAAGCAAACGTTGGATCTAAAGAGAGGGGCTTATTGAAGGTCTCATGAACAGGTTAATCTTAAGCAAACGTTGGATCTAAAGAGAGGGGCTTATTGAAGGTCTCATGAACTGGTTAATCTTAAGCAAACGTTGGATCTAAATAGAGGGGCTTATTGAAGGTCTCATGAACTGGTTAATCTTAAGCAAACGTTGGATCTAAAGAGAGGGGCTTATTGAAGGTCTCATGAACTGGTTAATCTTAAGCAAACGTTGGATCTAAAGAGAGGGGCTTATTGAAGGTCTCATGAACTGGTTAATATCAAGCAAACGTTGGATCTAAAGAGAGGGGCTTATTGAAGGTCTCATGAACTGGTTAATCTTAAGCAAACGTTGGATCTAAATAGAGGGGCTTATTGAAGGTCTCATGAACTGGTTAATCTTAAGCAAACGTTGGATCTAAAGAGAGGGGCTTATTGAAGGTCTCATGAACTGGTTAATATTAAGCAAACGTTGGATCTAAAGAGAGGGGCTTATTGAAGGTCTCATGAACAGGTTAATCTTAAGCAAACGTTGGATCTAAATAGGGGGGCTTATTGAAGGTCTCATGAACTGGTTAATATTAAACAAACGTTGGATCTAAAGAGAGGGACTTATTGAAGGTCTCATGAACAGGTTAATCTTAAGCAAACGTTGGATCTAAATAGAGGGGCTTATTGAAGATCTCATGAACTGGTTAATATTAAGCAAACATTGTATCTAAATAGGTTGGGCTAGACTTTAGAAGGTACGAGTTTCTAAACCTAAACAGCAAACAAGGTATAAACCTGTTCAAAAGATTGGTGAGAAGTGTGAACTAAGTGATAGGCAAACCTATCTACTCCTATTGAGAAAAGATTTCTAGAATCTAGGCAGAGACAATAGACGGATATAATATTATAATATTAAACATAAATATGGAAGTCTTAGATGCGAAATTGTGGATTCTACTAGGTTAATATTTACCCATTCGCCACAGGCTATTCTTATTTGTATTTAGACTAACTGCATATTATTGTAATATTAGAATGGAGAATTTTTCTGGTAGGCTAATGTTTACCACTGGACTTATTCAACCAATAGTGGGTCAATTTTGAGATAATTGGAAGTTCTATCAGGATTTATAAATGGTAACTATAATCTCTACAATATAAGATATGCAGATGACGCGGGGTTTATAGAAGACACAAGACTACAAGAATTCTTACAGAAGGTAGTGAAGGGAGGGAGGGCAAAAAGAAAGGAATCAACATCAGTTGCAAGAAGGTAGAATGCATTCTCGTTAGCAAAAGGAACAATCCAATATTCAAATTACAAATTGGAGATACCGAAATCTAACCATCTAAATATCTGGGAAGTGTTTTAACAGAAAGACGGAAAGTGCGACACTGAAATCCGGCGCATTGGGATATCGAAAGATGCCTTTCAAAAACTAAGCAAAGTATTAAAAAACAGAAAAGTTTCATTAGAAAAAAAAAAGGAAAAGAAAGAAGAATACTGAACTGTTATATAATATCAGTCCTCCTACATAGCAGTGCATCCTGGGCAATCTCCTCAAAGATGAAGAAGAGACTTGAAGCAACAGCAATATGGTTCTACAGATGAATTCTAAGAATGCAATTGACCGAACATGTGAGCAACGGCGAAGTTTTATAGAAAATGGTAATAAAAAGGAGACTTATGGTTAATATCAGGAAAGAACAATTGACATTTCTAGGACATATAATGAAGAAGGAGGGATTGGAAAATTTAATACTCACAAGACAGATTGAAGTCAAGCGGGACAGGAAAACAACTCTGGTCAGGATGACGTTGGAGCAAATTTATTAAGAGCTGAAAAGGACATGAAATTCTGAAGGGACACGGGATAGAGGAGAATAATGAACTTGTGTAAATGGAATAAGATTTATGGGAAATAGCAAAAAGACAATTTTTTAAGAGCTATAAAGAGTAGGAAATGGTGGAGAGTCACGATCAATAACATTTTTAAGAGAGACGGCACACAGAAAACGAATAAGCTTGTGTAAATGAATAGAGAAACAAGGTTTAGGAAAGATAATAAAAAGCCAATATTTTAAGAGTTATAAAGAATAGGAAATTGTGGAGAGTCACAATCGCCAACGTCCTGAAGAGATACAGTATATAGAAGAAGAAGAAGAATGAGTTTGTGTAAATGGATGCAGGAACAAGGTTTAGGAAAGATAAAAAAAAAAAGCCAACATTTTAAAGAGCTATAAAGAATAGGAAATAGTGGAGAGTCACAATCGCCAACGTCCTGAAGGGATACAGCATATAGAAGAAGAATGAGTTTCTGTAAATGGATACCAGAACAAGGTTTAGGCGAGATAGTAAAAAAAAACAATACTTTTAAGAGCTATAAAGAATAGGAAATCGTGGAGAGTTACGATCGCCAATGTCCTGAAGTGACACAGCATATAGAAGAAGAAGAATGAGTTTGTGTAAATGGATGCAGGAACAAGGTTTAGGAAAGATAACAACTTTTTGTTATCTTTCCTAAACATTTTTAAAGAGCTATAAAGAATAGGAAATCGTGGAGAGTCACAATCGCCAACGTCCTGAAAGGACACAGCATATAGAAGAAGAAGAATGATTTTGTGTCAATGGATGCTGAAATAAGGTTTAGGATAGATAACAAAAAAGCCAACATTTTTAAAGAGCTATAAAGAATAGGAAATCGTGGAGAGTCACGATCGCCAATGTCCTGAAGTGACACAGCATATAGAAGAAGAAGAATGATTTTGTGTCAATGGATGCTGGAACACGGTTTAGGATAGATAACAAAACAGCCAACATTTTTTATGAGCTATAAAGAATAGGAAATCGTGGAGAGTCACAATCGGCAAAGTCCTGACGGGACACGGCACATACTTAAAAAAGAATGATTTTGTGTAAATGGATGTCGGAACAAGTTTTAAGGGAGATAATAAAAAGCATAGAGAGGTAATAAAACATGGAAGAAGAATGATTATGCAGACGTCATTCCATTAATTGTAGCTACACTAACTTCATAGTAAATATGTTATTTTTTTTTTAATATGCAACCGAAATATGTTTCTTGTTGATTAATCTAATGTTCTATGTTTGTCTTTTCCAGGTTTTGGGACACTCACCTTGATATCGATACGGTCGGAGAAATCGATCAGATCGATCAAGTCGTGTCTGACAAGTGTTTAGCCATCCACGAAACTCCTAGTGAATCGATGGGCACCAGCCAACTGACTGTGTCCACAGAACATGAAGAGACGGAGACAGAGCAAGTGGACACGTACGTGGAGGAGGAAGAGAGGACGTTCTTCATGAAGAACGTCATTGATCCACGCGACAAATCCGTTATCTCATTCCAGCATGCCGTTATGTTGGGAATCGTGGACCAGACGAACAATAAGTATATTAACCCGGATACTGGCGAGAGTATACAAATCAGAGAGGCGATCAACGCAGGCTATATCAGTCTGGAATGGACATCTAGGAAGAAGATCCGGGAGGAAAAGAAATCTTATGGGTTGATAACAATCAAGACGACCCGTGAGACCCGCCCGTATTCAATACTAGAGGTCATTGACCCCAAAACAGAGAAGCCAATTCCTGTTAGCGAAGCTATGGAGAATGGCATCTTGGATACACATAAATCGGTTTACAAGACAAAAGATGGCGAGGAAATGGATTTGGCCGAAGCGATAGATTTGCATAAAGTTATTGTTGAATATCACGGTGAGAAGAACCAGAAACCAGAAATCATTTCAAAAACCTACGCAGTCAGTGCTGTCGTTGACCAGAGAAGAAAAGATAAGGTTCAGTTTGCTGAAGCGATCAACTCTGGTATTCTTGACAAAGCCCGTGGTTTATATGTGAACAATGTCACCGGCGAGACGATTCATATTGGCGAAGCGATCATGAGAGGTTTTATAAAGGCCCGGGTCATAAATGATGTCAGCAAATTGGATATCAATCCTGAAAACAAAATTGTTGTGGAGAGGATACAGAATGTTCGTAATAAACTCATGAGGGGCATCAAGGCTATTAACGCGATGAAGAATCTCAAAAAATGA